CCTTTTTTTTTTTTTTAAACACATGCCAAAAGACCCACTTTCCCATAGTCTCTTTGTCAAAAACAGATTTTTTTTTTTTTTTTTTTGATTAAATCAATCAGACTCAAGTAGTTGCTGGACAGTAAATTGAAGAGAGAGAAACACTTTATTGCAGTGGGAAGTGTTTAGCAATATTTTTAGTTTCTGATAATACCAGCTGTGCCATGTTATTCGTATTTTGAAAATGGAATACCATCTTCAGGTTTTACAGGTAGATATAGTGAGAAGATTCAGTCTTCTAATTGCTTGCTGTAGACCTGGCTGTGCTACCACAGATTCAACAGCATGGTTCTACTTTAGGACTAAGGAAAGAATAAACAAGATTGAAAGTGAATATCCGGAAATTATTTGAAATACCAAGAATGAAGATGGAACTCACAAGCTTACTAGTTAAGATGGCTAATTCTTGCCAGCTTCCCTCCAAGTCCCCCTTTTAAATAAGTCCTCACTATAAGAATTAAAAATTACAAACTTCTGTACTAGAATTTCTATGTAAAATATCTGCATATGAAGCAGTATAACATTTTCCTTTATATTTTACTGGCTACAGTCATTATTGTATAACTGGTTTTGCTTTTTGCTATATCTAAATCACTGCCTATGAGTTTAGTAAAATCTGCTAGTGTAAGTAATGGTTTTATGCTATTTCAGTCATAACACATACTGCTTCAGATTACTCTAAGCACTTGTCACAAATTGAAGAGAAAGGGGAAAATGATGACAGTGTAGTTGTGTACCACATCTGCGTGTGCTCCCCATGTGACTAAACAGATGCACATGAAGATCATAAGTAATCATTAATTGCTTTCCCCACTGAGCAGAAATTCTTTTGAGTAACAGACGTGTTTCATTGCTTTGTGACATCGGAGTGTTTAATGAGTTATATTTCAGACCACAGTGAACTGAAAAGACTACATACAGAATTTCAAATTACATGAAAAGTTGTTATTGATAGCCACTGTCGTACTTAACTGGCACTTGGAATATTTTAGCACTTAGAGAATATGAATAGACAGAATACGCAGCAAACTTGAGAATAAATTGTAAGCTGGAACCAAAATAAGTTTTTCCAATAACGATACTAATATTGGGACAAATTTGGGTATATGGATTTTAATTCATATCAGTGCATAGCAGATTCAATAACTTCAGTGAGACACTGAAGGTGAACAGCTTCAGGTGTAAACTAGCATAACATGTTTATGGAGTTGCTGTTCCTTTTTTTTTTTGTCAGCAAAAAAAGGTTTGTGTAATAATTAGAAGGAGTTGTTAATTTGTATAAAATTTTCCTGAAAGACACAGAAGAAGGTTTGTGGATTTCTGAAACAGACTTTTGTTTTGGTTTTGTTTTTTCTAAATGCTTGACAACTGGAATTTTGCACCTATCAGAAAGTCTGTTGTTCGTGGCTAGGGTGATAGATATGCAATTAATAGCTTGCTCCATCTACAGCATGTGGGGTTTTTTTGTTGGGTTTTTTTGTTTGTTTTGTTTTTTAAATCTACAGTGAATAAAACCTTGAGGTCTTTTTTTCCTCACTTAAAATCTCTTGTTCTCTCTATTGTTCACAGTTGGTCATCAATGCTGCATTGGGATTTGACACATTTGTTGTTATGAGACACGGACTAAAGAAACCAAACCAGCAAGAATCTGGTGATTCATGTTTCAACAATGCCTCTGGTTCTTCTGATCTTTTGGGTTCATCACTCTTTTCAAATATCCCTGGCTATAAACTGGGCTGCTACTTCTGCAATGATGTTGTGGCACCAGGGGATGTGAGTAGAACCTTATGCAAATGGTGATTATATATCTCTTTTTGTTGCAACTTCAATTTTTATTTCCTTTAAATGGTGTTTCATAAAGGGATTTGTTTTATGTTAATGTACACAGGATTAAGAAATAGATCATTTTTTATTTGGAAGATCAAAGAAATTAATTACACAGAGCTGAAGATGTTTCATGTAGTAAGGCAGCTAATTACTTTCAAGTTACTTTTTTCTGTCCTTTAGAATTGTCTGTCTTTGTAGTCCACCAGGGATCGGACACTGGATCAGCAGTGCACGGTCAGTCGACCTGGATTAGCCATGATAGCTGGAGCTCTTGCAGTGGAATTAATGGTTTCTGTTTTACAGCATCCAGAAGGGTGAGTCATTTCTGACAAGAGGATTGGTGTTCAAAAGGTGTCCTCTGGAAATAAGATTGATTTCTTATAATCTTTTGGGAGAAGGAGGAGGAAGTACACATTAAGTAGGACAAGTTTGTAATGTAAATTAATGTGATGTATAGGTCATATCTACTATATTACTGTAATTTAACAGTGTTTAAGAGAAAAATAATTTATCAAATCTTAAGTTTTTATCTTGGAATTTGGGAGTATTCTCTCTTTCTGAGTTTAAAAGTAGAAAACTGCTGAGTATTTCAAAAGAAGAGAATATTCCTGTTAGTGGATCTTGGCATTCCTTTGCTTGGGAGAGTGTTCATAACATCAGAGCTATCATAACTACTTTTGTCACACGAAGGGCTTCAAGAGAAGCCAAATATTCCAAAATCTTAATTAAAATAAAGTGGCTTTGATACAGACATTACTCTGAAATTCTGTAACCTGAATTTAAGCTTGTTTCCTGTCTTTAAAATCTGTGAAAGAAAAAGTGAGCTAGGAGTTGGACATGAGTATGTTACAAATTTCTGAGACAGATTCTGAAAAAGGGTTTTTGTATTCCCATGCTCTATCTTAGTTACTATGAAACAGATTTTCCAGATAGGTTCCTTTCCAGAATCTAAACTGTAAACTGTAACAAAATGTCTTGAAGCTTACTGGAAATTTTGACTGTTCAGTCTGTTGTCTTGTTCTAATTTTCCTTCTTGGATTTTTGGCAGTGGTTATGCTGTGGCCAGCAGTAGTGATGATAGAATGAATGAACCGCCTACTTCTCTTGGCCTTGTTCCTCATCAGGTAAATAATTTGCGAGTAAATGCTTTTGTTTGAAAGCTGGGAACTGATAGAAGGCAAGCATCACAGACTGCCTCCATAGCAAAAGCATACACTATGCTGATTCCATTCCCTGATGGACTGACTCTCTGTTTAAAAAAAACCCACAAAAATCTATCACACACGCCAAGGTAGCTGTGTTCTTGGCATTGTGTCTGTCTTGTGGACAAACAATTACTGCTGTCTACTTAACAGGAATTTATTTGGAGCAGACATGATGTGAATAAGGCAACCTCTGACTTTTCCCCATCAGAGCTGATACCATGAGCATCTCGAAGTTATTTTTGTGCACTTCTAATCCCTTCTGCTCAAAGCAGAATTTTTTTTTTTCAAAAAAAAATTCAAATCAAGCCAACTCACAGTTATTATAGTTCTCCAAATAATTAATGTATTTCTGGTGCAATGCAGCTTCTACTCAACTCAAACTCTAGTTACAAATGTGTTAAGTATACCATTTTTCAGGTTGCTGGATAGACTTCTCTTTATTTGTTAGATTGATACAGTCCGTCAAAAAACTGCCTGCCGATCTTATCCCCATAATCGTAGAATTGTTTAGGCTGGAAAAGACCTTTAAGATCATCAAGTCCAACCATTAACCTAGCACTGCCAAATCCACCACTAAACCAGGGCCCTAAGCACCCCATCTACACTGCTTTTAAATACCCTCAGGGATGGGGACTCAACCTCTTCCCTTGGCAGCCCGTTCCAATGCTTGACAACTCTTTCAGTGAAGAAGTTTTTCCTAATGTCCAATCTAAACATGCCCTGGCTCAACTTGAGGCCATTTCCTCTTGTTCTTTCACTTGTTACTTGGGACAAGAGACCGACCCCCACCTCACTGCAGCCTCATTGGGATTAAAAGTATTCTGTGCCTCTTTCATTGTGGTGTTTATCTTGGTGACTCTGGATGCTTTCATTGTATAAATAAATCATTTATTTGTTTCTAAGTGGTATTTTTAGAGTCTATTGATATTAATTTTTTTTTGCACTAAGAATGAATCTTGATTCAGGAAAAGATAGAACTAGTATGTTTTCTTTGCAACATCCAGGTAAGTACAGGGTCTGGTCTCTATAAAATTACTCTAATTTTGTTTACAATTTTATGTAGTAAGCAGTGCTTACACATGGGTCATTTAATGCAATGGGATCCCCCTAGGTTCTCCCTGGGTTCTCTCTCTCCAGTAATTCTGGAGTTTCTCCAGTTATCTCTTGGGACTCTCTCTCCCATACCCCTGAAGTTTTTCTGCTTGTTCCTGTGGACATTGTCAGCTACAGGATTACTAGGGAATACCCAGTTCTCAATTAGCTTGTTCAGATACCCTCAGTGCGAGGCTTTTGCCCTCACTGGCACTCAGTCTGCTCGTCTGCAAGGTTCTCAACAGTTTCCAGCTTTGACTCTAACTGATAAGTTTGTAACTTTCATAGTGACCGACAGGTTGTTTACAGTCAGGGTATTTTATTGTAACTAAGTTACTCCCTTATCCTATACCGTTATCTGTAGTTAACATGCTAATGCTGTTGTCAGCCGGGCCCAACCTATGCCAACTGCTGCAGTATACCTCGGGGAGATTTTTTGACTTCCCGTATCTCAATAGGAAGAAAAAGCCAAATCTAAATCTTGATCTTTTGCTGATCCAGGTACTCCCTTCTGATTTGTCTGAATGTTTCCTGTGATTATATGGGAAGATAATATGAGAGATTTTACTTATGCTAGGTCAGTTTTAAAAAGAACTTCAGTAGTTTTGAGAGCTGAATCTTTGTGACTCATGCATATGCAGTGACTCTTTCAAACTGGTGACTATGCTCCAGACCTCTGGAAGACTGGTCTGTAATTTGAACTTTCCCTAAACAACTAAAAAGGGATATTAAGAAGTGGTTTTTTTTTCCCCAACAAAAAGCTAGAAATATTAATAACGTATAAATAAAATTAAAAAGACAATCAGTACTCCACAAAGAGTTCATAGTCTAAGTGATCAAACCCTGCTCCAAAGTATTTTCAGTGCTATCTCTGTTATGAGAAACAATGGTCTGGAATGTTAAAATTATGTTATCAGTAGTATCAAATTAACAACATGGTTTAGGAATGCGTGGCAGTTAAGTTTTCAGATTATATGCTATAGAGATGAGGGAAAAAAAAAGCGTTTAACTGGTTATACCATGACTTTTTTTTTTCTGATCAAACTTTGCAATCAGAAAAGTTGAACTCCAGGTGGTGCTGTGCCTCTATGTTTAAATAGTGTTGCATTTAGATAGTTGTGCCATTATTTGTATATAGGAAAACAGTAATATATATTGAGTGTAAATTTACCACAGGTGTTAGTGGGTGTCACTATGTTAAAACAGTATTACCCTAGCTATAGCCATTCTTTATCTTTATATTGAATGTATGTGTCCAGTTCATGTGGAATTTTGGAAATGTTTTTATAATGATAAAATAGTATTGTCGTCTTTTTTGTCCTCCAGATCCGTGGATTTTTATCAAGATTTGATAACGTTCTTCCAGTCAGCCTGGCATTTGATAAGTGCACAGCCTGTTCAACCAAAGTAAGTCTGAGTTTGTCTGTACTTTATTTGTATGTACAGAATGGTCTTGTTCTAGGTCAGCTGTGGGATGCTGAGGCCTGCTTTGTATTTGACGTTTTCTCTTACTTCCTTAGGGCTTGGGACCTGTGTTCTCACTTCAGCTGAAGTTCTTTTGCCCTCATCCCCTTCTGTTTTGGCTGTTTTCCAAATTTCTTTGGCATCACCTGTGAACATGCTATCTCCACATAAACATTAGTCGTAGCTAAAGAAACCAAGCAGAGATTAGGGCCAACACACTTCTGAAAAGTTTATCACATAAATACTGTTAATATCTTTTAGCTTTGTAGGAAGGAATAAAATTGGTATTGTTTTTAGTTGTTTAGGAAATTATTTCAGATGTCGGATGAATAAATACATCTTTTTAGTCTTGAACTTTAGTATATATCATTGTACATCTGTATATATCATTACAAATACACGAAGTTGTCTAAATTTCTGTTTTATGATACAAAACAAACATATAAAGAACACTTAAGAAAAAAAAATTACTTCCATAACATTTCTTTATTGAAAAGGCTCTTTCATTTTGATGCTGGTGTTGCCAGTCCTGAGTCACCTAAAGGATTTACAGCTGTTGCTTGGATCTGAGCTGTGCCTTGCCAGAACACTAGGGCAGCCTGCTAATGTGTCTGTGTGAGGCCTCCTCTTCGGTCCTGGATTGTTTTCCTGTACTGTGGCCTTGAAAAGTTTTTTCTGGCAAGTTTTCTATGACCATGTAGTGCAAGTTCAAGAAGTTTTGACTGGGATATCTCAAGATGAAGATTGACTCATAATTTGGCCTGCTTGGGAGTACCATTAATTTAGTTCACTTCTGTGTACCTTGAGACTCACTGGAAGAAGTTCTTTCCATTCTTTTCACTGCAGTTGTCCTTTCAAACAGCTATCAAAAACTTCTGAGGCCCTATCATTTTTTTTGAGGACTTGCACAATTTCTTCTACATTATTCCTGTTATTTCTCTAGGCTCTCTGGGCACACTTGACAATTTTTGAAGGACTATTAATGTCCATTTTCTCCTTAAAAGTTGAAGCACTGAACTTAAAACTGATGTTATTTTTAGAAACATGTATCTACCCTCTTGAACAGTTGAAAGCTCAGCAGTAGCTAAAAGCTATTAATTTCTCATCTTTTCAAGAAGTATGGTTTGCAGACATTCTATATGTGTTATCTAAAGTAATTTGGTTCAAAAAAATACTTGAAATGTAATGAAAAAATAAAGGAACAACTTTATGATGGTCGAGCCCGAGAATTTAAACTGTTAGAATAAGGTGGGGCTTTTTTCCCTTTTTTTTCCTTTTTATCTCTGATCCAGGACATATTGGTATATAAAAACATACATTGATGTAAATAAATTAAATGCAGGTATCAATTTTTTATTAGCAAATCATTTCCTCTTGGAGGTCATTTTAAGAGAGCCCTGTTTTACATAAACAGACTTGATGATTTAATAAAAACTGACTTGGATTTTAGCAGCTGTGCTATTCCCAGAGAGATCACTTTTCATGTGGTTTGGATATTAAATTACTTCTGTGCTGAAAAGGTTGCTTCATTGGCGCACGTATTTCCTTACAGTAGAAACACAGCATTTGTTTACTTTGCTAACATTCTGTTTATTAGCATAAGAGTATGTCACCCTGTATTATCTGGAAATCTGATGCTAATCCTTTGAAATGACAAATCCAATTAGAATTTAATTGTAGCCTGCATGTTGGTTTTGTTTTCATTTTTTTTTTAATTAGGCAATTAACGTAATTTCATCCTGATCTATGTCAGATTTACTGTAGATTCAAACTTTTAGCACAAGAGAGAAGTGGCTTTTCTGATATAACTGAATTTGCTGGTACCTTATTAATTTTCATCTTTCTTATGTCTGTATTCTCTTTCTTGAGCTCTTGTCACTCTGTAACGCTTAAAACATAAAACTAAAGAATTAGGAATTTTTAAAAAAATCCAGTACATTCTTAAGCCATCCAGTACAGCTGGATGACTTAAGAGAAGCTGCTAATGATCTGCATGTTTAGAGATTAGATTCCATTTCATTTTGACTCACAGTCATGACTTCATTTATCTGTTTTTGAAGCCAAAGAGCCCAGGTGTCCAAGCAGCCAGCTATTCCTTACCCAGAATTGTCCTAAACAGGCTGCATGCCAGAGAAGCTTCCCACAGGCAATTGTTCAGGAATTTTGGGATGGTCGCAGCAGGAAACCAATCTATTTTTATTCTGGGCCAAATTTTCCTTGTATGATTTCCCCCTCTGTCTTACTCTGGTTCTGCACAAGTATGTGCTAGGATGGAAAGTATCTTCTTTCACGGCTAACAGCACTGTGCTGCCAGTTGAGTAGTAGGTCTGAGGAGCAGTGTAAGCTCTTCTGATGCAATTCTCTTCTGTATCAAACTTGTTCTGCTAGTGAGAAGGGAGAGCCCAAAGTTCTTTAGTATAGATACTTATTTGTAATAATTGCTTTATTTACAGAATGAGAATGTTAAGCTTATTACTTACTGTGCTAATTAAGCTCTCTGTTTACCCTGTTGGGAGCAAATTTTCTCATAATATTATGGTCAGAAGCAATACAATCCCATGGACAGATAGAGTAGTCCTGATCCTGTACTACCTGATCCTTGCAGGCAACTGGCTAAAGCCCTGAAACATGGATGTTAAAATACGTATCTATCTTAATGCAAAACTGCCAGTGTTTATATTTTAATCAGAGTAATGAAAATTTTACTGTTATTGCTCCTTCCCTTCTCCCTGCCCATCACGGAATGAACCAGGAGACCTCATAGGTTCAGAGTTTAATGTCAGAAAAGATTATTACTACTAACCAACTTGGATATATAGATGGCCCCTCTGTTTTTACATATAGTTCACAGATGATCTTGCCTCCAGAGTGCAGAATTATCTTCCATGTGCTAGAAAGCTAGCTCATTTTCCTTAAAGATATTTCTCTTCTTCCCCTACTAAAATTGTTCTGATTTGTAATTATCTCCACTGTGAAATTAAAAAAAAAATTAGCATATCTACTAATTTTCAAATTCTTTCTCAACTTTCTATTCGGTATGCTGAAAAATTGAGCTGCTTAAGTCATATTTTTTTAAGCACTGAGTAATTTTATTGACTTACCTTTAAATGTTTTTCAATTTCATTGCATTTCATGAAGGTGTAGATGCCAGGATCAGGGATGGTATTCTAGATTCTATGTTACTGTTTCTGTTTTCAGTCAAGATATTTTCCTACCCTTGCAGATCCTTTTTAACATCCCAGGAATACATTAAACACTTTTGCTGTGACATTTACTAAGTGCCTGTGTTGCGTAAGATGTTTGAGTGTTTCAGTTTTGAAATCTATCATCATGTAGACATAACAATGCTTTTATTGTTCTCATCTGCTGCTTTGCATGCATTTTTACTTTAAATGGTTCTGATCAGTTATGATGGTAACCTGCTGATTTAGTAACTTACTGATTTATTTTTTTTCAGTTGAGATAATTTTAATTTTGATTCCAGCAAGACCCTTCATATTTGCCCTAGCTGGATTGAGAAGAGAATTTCATATTCACTTTATCCCAGTAATAACATATTGTAAGATCTGTCAGTGAAATTGTTTTTAATCTTTTTATATTCTACATTTCTCAATTCAAGTATTGTGTTGATGTTAAATAGAGATCTATAAGTCATAGGGGAAAAAAACCCCCAACTTGGTCTTTCCTGTACTAAAACAAGCTAACTCTTGCATAGCTTGCAGAAATGATGGAGGAAATGGGGAGAAATGTTTGTCCTTCAGGAATGAACACTGCAAAAATTTAAAAGAATGTTTAAAAAGAGTTATTTCTATAGCTGTGCTGTAACATTAAGTCTATGTAACTGAGTCCATTTATAACTTTCCTTATTTCCTGAATTTACATATGTTAACATTTGACACTTCTATGTACAGTGCAGCCTCTGTATTAATATTGGATAGATTTCATTCAGACTTAAAAGAATGCATCATTAATATAGCTAGGTGTATTTTCACTGTACCGAGTTAAATGTAATACTTTTATTTCACTTGAGGTGCTTTATGATAAGTGACTTACATACATGTATCACTTCCATTTTTCTTCATTGAAAAAATGTCATTTTAACTAGGGGGAGCAGGAGGCAGGATTATCTTGCCCATAACTTCGGAAATCTCAGGTAGTCTTTACCTCTCTGGATATCAATTTTAAATTCAGTGAGAGAACTGAAATAATATATATTTTCAAAATTAGTCATAGTGAGGATGGGTTTACTGCTGGTTGCCTGAAAGATGCTTATTCTTGAAAATCATGCCTTACTCTTTCAAAAATACTGAGTTTTTATAATAAGGTCAACAAAATATGGTGTAGATTATCCCAAGTAAAAGGATACTAACAGAAGGAAGCTGTGACGTGTACTAAGAATGCCACATCACACACTAAGAAACGATGACCATGGTAATGTGGCCATTAGGATGGAATTTTGTTCCCTTACAAGAGGGCAAATGTGATCAAGAAACCCAGAAATCTTAAAAGTAGCGTTAGCCTTAAACATTATCCTATGCTGTGAACGGAGAAAAGGGTGTGGAATCGGCAGTGTTTTCAGGTTTGGGCATTGGGGAAGGTGTCTGTACAGACAGGATAGATGATAATTTGAAAATGGAACTTAAAAGTACAACACTGAAATCTAATAAGGTGGGAGAGAGCTCATTATCTCTCTCCTATATCTGAAAAAAAATACACAATGTTGAAGTACATGTGGTTCAGTGGAGAAGTTATGTCTCATTCCTCCTTGCTTAGTCCATCATGATGACTGGAAGCTTCATAGCTAATCCTGTGTGAAGGCAGTACTGCCTTGCATGTAACAGCTCCACAACAAAGGTTGTAAATGGAAGGAACATGGGGAAAGATAGAGCATGATTATGTTCAGTCTTAAATCATACCATTTACCAAAATTCAGAAAGCAGGCT